GAGAAAGAAAAGGAGGGAAAGAAAAGGAGAGGAGGGAAAGATGGCAAAGAGATGGAGGGAGGGAGGCACGGGCCCGGGGGATCTGGCTGCGGGGCTCTCCGGGCTTCCCCCGGCCCCAGCGCTTCGGCATGGCCTCGGGGGACCTGGTGACGGGGCTCTTCGGGCCTCCCCCTAGCCCCAGCGCTTTGGCGCGGGGAGCTGGGGGCGGGGCTTGTCGCGCCACCATTTGTGCCGGCACCTGAGCTGCTGGAGCAGCGCTCCGGCCCCAAAAGACCCCTGCAGCTAGTGTCCTCACAGGTGGGTAGATGTTGTAATCACTGCAAATGTTATTCCTGTGTACTACTCTATCTTTTCCCATAGGAGTCAACAACAATGCACCATTTATTTATTTATTTTTAACAACATTTTTTAATTATACAACACCCATAATGAACACAAAATTACAGATTTTTAACAACTGAGAGATAACAGTGTTTCAGTCGATCAAAACAGGTAGTACACATCATACTATTTAAAGCAATGTACCATTTATATACAAGAAATACTGAAACACACCATTGGTGTGCGAACATACTGTTTTCTACTTGACATACTAAACCTGTGAAAATCACACCTGTTCCTAGAGTCACAGCTCTTTCTCAACACACAGTTGACCCATCTTGAGTTCTGCTTCTTGGTCACACAAGAGTGTGATTGGAGTGTCGGGAATCAGCTGACTGTACATATTAGACCAAGTGCAACAGACTCAGCAAAGGTTTTACTAGGTTTTTCCACAGACATCTATGGCTGCTTTCATACATGTGGAGCAAAACGTCATCACCGCTGAGGGAGCTCCAGTGAGCTGAGTAGCAGCTGCCAGGGATGGCGCCCACATAGCTGGTCTCCAGGCTGTCGCTTCACCTCTCCTTTTCCCATTAGCACAGAGGTGCCAACAATCTCTCAGAGTCTCCTAACAGCCCAGTAACACCCCCCCCCCTTCACAGCCGAGCCACAGTGTTCGCTTAGCTGTGAAAAGAAATTTTGTAAAGGTCTGAAGAATATGAAGGAAAAGTGGAATTCCCTGGACTGGCTGCAGGGAGAGCTTCTACACAGACAGTTTCACCTGTAGCTGCCCTATATCTCTGTTTGAAACAGAAGCCGCAAGAGGTCCAAGAATTCTACTTGGAATTAGCAAAATGTTGTGTGGCAGCTCCTGCAAAATATGGGGGCACACTGTCCTCCATACAGGGGAAACATCCATGCGTGAAAGCAGCTTCTTTTTTTTTACACTTTAAATTTTGTGTACTGTTTTTGTATTTAACAAAAGCTGCCATCCAAGAATTTTCCCACTATGGCTGGCAACATAATGGTGATTAAGTATGCACAATCTATATCCATTGTGGACTCGTTTTAATGCACCATGAAAGAACAATGCTTCCTAAAAGACATCTCTCAGCTCCAGAAGAGTGCCCAGCTGAAAGATGTATACTGTGGCCAGCCATTTTGTTCCCATGGGGAAGCCAGCTGGCAAGTCAAGCGCTCATGTCCAAGGAAAGAAGTTACAGTGAAGAGCCAGCCCCAGCAACCAATAGGAAAGAGCATATCCCAGAATCCACTGGGTGAGAACAGTGGTCTGTCTCCAGTTCTTCAGTAGTCTTAGCACAGGGTTTTCATTTCTGTTCCAGGCAGGAAAAGGCCTTCCCAAGGAGGGCTCATCTAAGTGAGGTGCAGCATGTGATGTGGACGGATCCCTGTTCTGTAACAAAGGTTCGTGGGTATGAAGCAGATGGGCAGAGAACCAATAAAGGACTGGAGAGGAAGAACCCAAAAATCTGGTAAGAACCTGTTTTTTAAAAAAGAAAGTAAACATTACTCATTTGTTATCTCAGGAACCTTCACTATCTTAGAAAAAATAAGCCTTATGTAATCTGCAATTAAGAATAATGGAAATGAGCTACCCACTACACCAATGGCTATTACTATCACTTTGTGGCACTATAGGTTCTCTACAGAAATGAAGCTTAACTGCTGCATATTTTTGCTATTCCTCAGAGCTCTGTCCTGCCTGTACTCCCTGTACTGAAATTTAGCATAAGATCTTTGGGGACAGGCGCCAGGGCCTTTTTTACTTATGTAACATTAAAGTGCATTATAACAACACTATGACCAATAAATAATAACCTTCATCTGTTCTACAGATGGGAGCAGGGACAGGATAATAGGATTCCTTGCTGAGTTATTTTGAGAAAAAAGAGTAAAAAAAACACACCCTATTTTGTACATTAATAATAATAGATAACAAATGCATTCATTTTTAGGGTGGCGTGCCCTGCAACAGCCATTTAGTGGAAATAAAAGATGCAGAAGGAATTTTGACAAGGAACATGGGAGATTAGAAGGTGAAGATAATCTCTGAGGTAGGTACAAGGGAAAGTCAAGGATTCTGATCAACTGCCCAGGTGGGCAGTCAAACTCCTAGTCAAGAAGAATGTGAAATCCACCATTACTGGAGGCAGCACATAATTTACCTAATGTAATAAACCTAGTCATTGGTACTTGCATTCATGTAAGGAGTCACATTTTTTAAAATGCCAGGAATGAATTATTTATGGGTCTAACTAGATTGTTTTACGTATCATCATCAATATATCTAACTCTCAACATGGACCCATCTGTGGTCACTTAAAAATCCAGAGACTGGACCCATGAACAGACAAGAGAGATTTTTCTACAAAACTGAGAAAAGCCCCAGGTCTGCAGAAACATCTGAAACCTTTAAAAACAAAGTATTTTGGGGAGAGCAAGCCCCCTACGGTAATACAAACAATTCCTGTACCTTTAAGAAATGGACGCCCTCTGAGATCTCAGTGGCCATTAGAGTTGCTAAGCAACATAACAGTATTGCCAGTCCTCAAGCCTTGGTTTCTGTCAGTAAAAGGCAGGGGATGGGGACGGGTCCTTTCCAGGGCTGTTCTTGCACTAGAGTTAGGACTCATCAGGGCCAGGCCTGCCAGGCTCACCAGCAACTACTGTGCAACTTGCCACTACCCAACTTGCATGACTCACCTAGGCCTGGCTGCTTGCTACTGTTCAACACTCAACTATCACCAAACATGACGCTGTCTTTGTATTGAGTCAGACTACTGGTTGGTATTGTCTACTTTAACTGGCAGCAGCTCTTCAGAGTCTCAGGCAGGGGACTTTCACATCACCTCCTACATGATCCTTATGATCCTGTTAACTGGAGATGTTGGAGGTTGAATTTATGACCCTCTGCATGCAAAGGAGATGCTCTGCCATTGAGCCACATTGCAGAGGAAAATCAGCAGTGATAGGGCAAACTGCTTTTCAGGGAAGCTTCTCCCTCAGTAGTGACATTCTAAGACACCCATTCTCACCCATGTCTCCTGAACTCAGTTTGAAAAGCACTGCTCTAGAAGATATACCCAACTGCTCAGGACATTGTGTGGCACCAAGTTTATCTCCTAGCAAGAACTCTGTTGGAAGTCTGCAACTGGTTCTGGCATGTGCCCTCAACCATGGATGGAAGCATAAGAGCAGCCATGCTGAATCAGACCAATGGTACATTTAGTCCAGCATCTGCCTTTACTGAGCATCAACCAGATGCACACAGAAGTCCCACAAGCAAGGCAGAGGCCAAAGCCTCCCTCTGGTCCCCCCCCCCAAAAAAAAATGGTCTTCACTTGATTCCTTCAACTCCATGTTGAGATTCTATCTGGTCATTGTGGCTAATATCCATGGACTTCTCCTGTAAGAATTTAATATTCTGCCAGGTATACCAATGTGGTATAGCTCTTAGTGTGTCAGACAAGGATCTGGAAGACCCACATTCAAATCCCCTGTGCCATGAAAGCTTGCTGGGTTACCCTGAGCTAGTCACACACTCTCAGCCTAGTCCACCTCACAGGGTTGCTATGAGGATAAAATGGAGGAATTATGAAAGCCACTTTGGGGGCCCATTGTGTTTTGGAAAAGGCAGGGCATAAATGAAGTAAATAAATATATACTTGGCCTCTGGCTGCCAGCCTCACAGAAAGGTCCCAGGGAGGCATTTTTGAGTAAGCCTTTGTTACGCCAACAAAGAAGGTAGGGGGGCTTTCTGCTGATAATGTGGTGAAACCCCTAGTTCCTCTTACTTGTTTCTCCTTTTCAGATAATCTTGAATCACTTCCAGGGAACAGTGGTGTGCTGTTGAACAGCTTGAAAGATACAGACCTAAGCAACATAGTCCAAAAGAAAATTCTCCTCTGGGACCTGGTTAACTGATTCAGCTGAGTTACCAATGGCACTCTAGCTATACGGATATATGAAATCCATATGAAATTTATGAATGACAGATGTTCTTTGCGCTCTCTCACTTGCACACACATTATTGTCCAGACCCAAACTTGCCCATTCTGCCTACTAACTTCCCTGGAGGCACCTTTCACAAAATGTCACGGATCCAAGATGTGGTTTGCATGACGCTAACTGCCCTGATTGTTCTTCCACACCAGAAGAGCAAACCAAAAGTAAGTTGAATCCGTCAGTCAGCTTTGTAGTCTAATCTTATACCAGTCACTGCAGGGTCACGGACTTCTTGTTTCTTACCCCAACGCCAAAAGCAGAATTCTGCGCAGCGTGAAACAGAACATTGCTTCTCTCAGGATCCCATTCCAGGTGCCTGCAGCTGCTTGTGCCAACAGTTAGCCAGGAAGACATCAAAATGCTCCCAAGGCCACACTTCTATGACACCACTGATTTAATTTATATGAGTAGGCACATAGATGAACAAAACCTATTGAGGCAGACTCAACATGGGTTCTGTAAGGGAAGATCTTGTCTCACTAACCTGTTAATGTTCTTTGAGGGGGTGAACAAACATGTGGACAAGGGGGATCCAATAGATATTGTTTACCTTGACTTCCAGAAAGCTTTTGATAAAGTTCCTCATCAAAGGCTCCTAAGCAAGCTCAAAAATCATGGGATAAAAGGACAAGTCCTTTTATGGATCAAAAACTGGCTAATTAATAGAAAACAGAGAGTGAGTATAAATGGGCAGTTCTCCCAGTGGAGGGGTGTAAGCAGTGGGGTACCACAGGGATCAGTACTTGGTCCACTGCTTTTTAACTTGTTCATTAATGATTTGGAGTTGGGAGTAAGCAGTGAAGTGGCTAAATTTGCGGATGATACGAAGTTGTTCAGGGTGGTGAAAACCAGTGAGGATTGTGAGGCACTCCAAAGGGATCTGTCAAAGTTGGGCGAGTGGGCGTCAACATGGCAAATGGGGTTCAATGTGGCCAAGTGCAAGGTGATGCACATTGGAGCCAAAAATCCTAACTATAAATACACGTTGATGGGGTCTGAACTGGCAGAGACAGATCAAGAGAGAGATCTTGGAGTTGTAGTAGATAACTCACTGAAAATGTCGAGACAGTGTGTGACTGCAATAAAGAAGGCCAATGCTATGCTGGGGATTATTAGGAAGGGTATTGTAAACAGATCAGCCAATATCATAATGCCGCTATATAAATCAATGGTGCGACCTCATCTGGAATACTGTGTGCAATTCTGGTCACCACACCTTAAAAAGGATATTATAGCTTTGGAAAAAGTGCAGAAAAGAGCAACTCGAATGATAAAAGGGTTGGAACACTTTCCCTATGAGGAACGGTTAAGGCGCTTAGGGCTCTTTAGCTTGGAGAAACGACGACTGAGGGGTGACATGATTGAGGTTTATAAGATTATGCATGGGAAAGAGCAGGTAGAGAAAGAGGTACTTTTCTCCCTTTCTCACAATACAAGAACCCGTGGGCACTCCATGAAATTGCTGAGCGGTCGGGTTAGAACGGATAAAAGGAAGTACTTCTTCACCCAAAGAGTGATTAACACTTGGAATTCACTGCCACAGGAAGTGGTGGCAGCTACAAGCATGGACGGCTTCAAAAGGGAATTAGATAAGCATATGGAGCAGAGGTCCATCAGTGGCTATTAGCCACAAGGTATAGATAGGGACTCTGGGGCAAGTGATGCTCTGTCATCTTGGTGCTTGGGGGGGGGGGGTCAACAGTGGGAGGGCTTCTAATGTCCTGGCCCCACTGGTGGACCTCCTGATGGCACTGGTATTTCTGGCCACTGTGGGATACAGAGTGTTGGACTGGATGGGCCTTTGGCCTGATCCAACATTGGCATCTCTTATGTTCTTATGTTCTTATGACTCTCCAATGATTTTTAACCCATGCTTCCTTCAACTAGCTTAGAGTGGTGCCCACACCACTCCTTCCTAATTTTATCCTCACAAGCATCCTGGGAGGTGGGGGGGCTGAGAGCAGACGACTAGTCCGAGGCCACCCAGTGTCAGGGCAGAGTGGGGATTTGACCTGCATCTCTCAGATCCTAGCTCAACACTCTAACCACCTCTTAAGGATTTATATACACTGTTCCTTATAAGAAGCCCCCTAAGGCAGCCCAGTACTGTTGCTGATATATTGCTGACAAAAGAGAGAACAGAGACTTGCCTGAGGCTACCTACCAAGGGAAGTTTTAAATGGGGCATTCCCTGCTTCCCCTCTATACCCCATCAGCTCACACCATGGGCAGCCCTGTCTCCTTTCCACCCCTGCCCTGCTTCCTTCTCTGGTCTCAAAGTGGCCCTCGCAGTGATGCTCAATAACACAGGGCCTGGGTTTTAGCCTGGTGGGAGCACAGATGCAGAGGAGGCAGACTGAGCTTTGGGGCCAGCAGCGGAAGCTCAGCAGGACATGCCTTTCTCACCTGCAACTAAGTACGAAGCCCCACTTTCTGCAGCTGCAATCCTAGTCACATTTCCTTGTGAGTAAGCACCATTGTACTCACTAGAACTTGTTTCCAGTTGAACATGACAGGGTTGTGTGTTTTATTAAACACCCACCCAGCCACTCAAAGGCAATCCAGTTCATCATGGAGGCCCACTACCAACAGTTCAAAAAGCAAAAGTCTTTCTTTATTCCCTCCAGGAATCTTCCAGACTGTGTAGCCATTCTTTAACTGAAAATGAGGCAGAAGCAACCATTTTAAAAAATGCAATGGAGAATGGTATTTCTTATGCTTTTTTAAGGCTACTTCTTCCTAGGTCCTTGAGCTTATCTAACCTGAACACAGATTAACAGTACAGGGCAGAGCACACTTGTCAGGGATGCTCTAGGCTGATCCTGCATTGAGCAGGGGGTTGGACTAGATGTCCTGTATGGCCCCTTCCAACTCTGTAATTCTATGATTCCATGTCTTGGGGCCAAACTAGACATTATAGCTTCCCCAGATTTGATCTGCCAATGTCATTTTAGAGAAAAATTTGGTCATTTAAAAATGTCGTGAAGGCTCAATCCCAACCACGGATGTCATAACATCTAGTCTAGCCCCTAGCATATATAGAAACGTAGGTTTGCTCTTCAGCTAAGGGATACCCATTAACAGACTAGGAGATCAGCTATTATTTTAAGTGTACACTTAGAAAAACTAAAAACGTAATGTAGTCATGAAACAAGTGCACAGGTCAAAGAGGTACACTTCTTAGCTGAGTGCACACTGGAGAGTAAACCTAGTTTTGTCTCTGCATAGCCTGTGAAACTGCTCTTGGGAGCTGGGTTCACAATCTGCAACCACTTGAGACTGGCCCATCTGGCTCTACATCAGGTAGATTCCATCCTTTTGTTCAGAGACCACTGAGCCACAACATTCACACTGCCTGAGAAGACCTTTAAGAGGGTATCATCTCTCACCTGTACGTGCATGCAAAAGGTCCCAAGTATCAACAGAGCTGTCGAATGGACGATGTAAACAAATACACCAGGAGAGCAAAACCCAACAGTAGGCTTGGCGGAGAATTCTGCTGTTGCTCTTCCAGTCTCTCTCCTGGCCAGACCAAGAGTTAGGCAGTGCCAGGGATTTGAAGCAACATAGCACCAGGCCGCCCAAGAGCCCAGCATGATAGTTGGTGCAGCTAGTAGGAAATTTGGAATCTGTTTGGCCTCATAATACCGGAGAAAGCCCACATTCCAGTAAGTGTCTTGAATGTAGGCATAGACCATAGGATAATCCCAAGAGCACCATGATGGTTTCGCACCATTCAAAAAGGCTAAGCGGTATCCCATATCCACAGCTAGCTGTAAGAGTGGCCTTGGCACGACGTATTCAGAGCCAACATTGCTACTGCAGAACCAGAAGTAGGCATAGAATTGAAACAAAGCAAAGGGTAGGAAAATAGAGGTGCACATCAAGGCCACAGACACTACTAAGGTTGGAAGTTGACCTAAGACCAGCAAGCGTGCAACTCCAGTCCTCGTTTGGAGCTGGGAGGCAAAGTGTTTTGTCTGGGCATAAATGAGGAACCCAGCATTGATCACGCCATTGGAACGCACACCACTGGCGAGTGAAAACAGGAGGGTGCTTGTCCACAAACGCCTTTTCTCTAGCTGCCACATGGCGCCAAATGCCAGGAGGGCAAACATGCTCTCTGAATAAGCAGCTGCCATGAAGACACTGGCAGGGGTGATGCAGAAGAGGATGGCCGACAAGAAGGCCTGTCTGCGGCACTGCAGGACAACGCAGCCCAGCTCATACAGGACCCACGAGGCCAAGACGGAGAAGATGGCATTGAAGAGAACCGCAGAAAGGAGCAGCCGGCTTCGGAAACACAAAACACCCTGGAGAGGCCACAGCACCGTTCCTGCTGCTGCACGTAGACTCAAGGGAAACAGAGGGAAGAAGGCACAGTTGTGCTCGTACACGTAGCCGTGCTCAGCGATGAAGAGGAAGTGCGCCGCATCCCAGCGTGACAGGCCGCCCAGCAGCCATTCCACGAGCCAGTCACAGAGCCCAGGCTCAGACAAACGGGGTGGAGAGAAGGCGTCCGCAGCATGATCTGGGATCAGAAGATTGAAAAGGGCCTGGGGGAGGAAAGAAAACGTCAGCTTAAAAAAATACCCCATTCCCCCCTCCTGCTCATTGAAACAGCGTTCCTCCGGGTGGGTGCTGTGAGGGAGGAGGGCCACTGGAGCACACAAACAGCAGCACCTCGTTTTTATATCCTAATGGAGACTCAAAGCAGCTGACATCATTGCTCCCCCCCCTTTCCATTTTATCTTCAAACCAACAGTGTTCCCTCTAAGCTGCGTTAGTGTGAGCTAGCTCACAGTTTTTTAGCCTCCGGCTCACACATCTTTGTCTTAGCTCAGGAAGGAGGGCTCCAGAGCAAACTAATTCATGCAGGAGCCAAATCGCTCGCTCACAACTTTAATGCTAGTAGCTCACCAAGTAGAATTTTTGCTCACAGGACTCCACAGCTTAGAGGGAACATTGCCTATGACATAGGTTAGGCTAAGAGAAGGTGATGGTCCAAAGTCACCAAAGCACACTGATTGTTAACAGAAAAGCATGCCAAAGGCTGTGGTTTTTAATGCCCCCGGAGATCATCTGCCAAACAGAAATCATTTAACTTTCTGAGCAGACCCAAGACTCACAACACCCTACTAGGAGGTTTTCTTTGTACAATCACACTGATTATGTCCTGGTGCTGGAACGGAAAGAGAGAACCCTTGTGTCGTATGAAATTAAACCCAAGAAAGGCAGCCTACACTTTTATAACAAAAACGTTACCTCACTGATTTGACTTGTTTGGCTGGTTGAAGGATATGGCACCTCTGGAACTGCACTGGCTGGCTCGCATTCGGCCCAAACCATGAGGATCACAAGAAGTTTAAATTTGCCATGGCAACTGGAGGCGTTTAGGCGCAGTTCCTGCCTATCCAAACAACAGCCTTCCAAAGACTCCCCCCTGCCAACTGCAGCTGCTATAAGGAAGCTGTCCACAGACCCAAACACTCTTAGAGCTGTGTTCCTTGGCTATCTAAGGATGCCCTTGTGATCTGCAACAGCCCCCGCAGTCAGCTGCCTGCAGGCGACCCGGCTACCTGGCTCCAGCCTCGTGCCCACTCTCTTCTCCTTCCCTTCCCTCCCTTACTTCACTTTCATTGGAGACAAACCCTACAGTACTGTCCTAAGAACTCTTTTCCTGGAGTAAGACCCACTGAATAGACCCAAGTAGGATTCTACGCAGACCTGCTGAGGATTGCTCTTAGTAGTCCTTACATTGGGGTATTTAGCCCATGACTCAGTACAGAACCCAATACAGTGCTTAAGAAACAAAACAAAAAACCCTCAGAATTTTAAGTTAGGGTATTGTATAGGGGTAGGTGGAATGCTAGAATAACCAATGTATGAAGAGAATAGAAAGCAAAGATTTTTATACAGAACTAAAGGGCTTCTTAAACATGCTTTGCAGAAAGGGAAATTATAGAGGTGAATAGTTGCCTGGAATCCAACAGTGAACGTTGCACAGATGTATGCAAGAACAAAATCTGAGTCCAGTAGCACCTTAAAGACAAAGTCTTTCATGGCATAAGCTTTCGTAAGTTAAAGTTCACTTCATCAGCTTCTGACAAAGCTTACATCCCAAAAAACTGTGTTGGTCTTCAAGGTGCTATTGGACTCAAATTTTGTTCTGCTATTGAAAACTAACATGCCTATTGACCTGAAACTAGATTTATGCCAGTGCACTGTTAATCCATGTATCAGGATATGTTAAATGGTATACTTTGTTATGCAAAAGAGGTTTTCCATACTGGCTGTTTGTTGTTCTCTTATTCTGCATTCTGAGGTATTTTGACTCCTCAGTTATAAAAGGTTGCTGACTCCTGCTTAACCCACATCTTACCTCAGTTCCCTCACATCAAACTGCTATCAATTCCTGACAAGCAGTTCCAAGTTTTCTCCTTTGTCTTCACTCACCTAAAGACTCAGTCTGAGCCCTAGACAACAGACATGCTCCAAAACCAAATCTCCATGCTAAATTTCACACCATTAATAATGTAGGCCAGTTGGCCTTCTTGTTACCATTATGAGTGGGAAAACAGGAGAATATTCCCCAACTATTTATAACCTACCCCACAGGACTGTTGTATGCAGCCTTGGGTCCTCATTGGAGAGAAAGGTGTGGTATAAACAAAGTAAATAAAATAAAATAAACATTTTAATAAAATAAAACTAAGAAGTGTATATTTTAGGGTTCCCTCAAAATTTATCAGTCTGTGGGCATTTTGAGAAATGGTACCACCACAAAATGGCTGCCACTGTGGATAAATATAAAATGGTGGCAGGCTCCAAGCCAAACATCCTCCCATGATGGAGGCAACTGTTTCCAGACATAAAAGTGATGCCTCCAGCACTTTTCTGAAGCACCTCCAGCTCCAATAAAGTGGAAGAAAGCCAGGACTAACCCTTTAACACTAGGGAAGAGTCTGTCTGGGAGAAAAAAGCAGGCAGGCACCAGGAAACATATTGGTGGATACCACAGTAAGAATCACTGGTGAGCTTGGAAGTGAGAAGGATGTGGAGAAAGGGGTAAATGGCTGGAGTCCACAAGGGCTGGACAGGTAACTCATGAAAGGCATAAATTAAGACTGGAGGCACACCCAGGTAGTTTATTTTGAAGGTGTGCAAGAGTAAAGAATTGCCAGCCCTCAAAGGATCTGTCTCTGGTGTGTCTGCATGAGTCTCTGTTCTGATTGGAAAGAAGTGAGCCCTCATTCCATACATTTGACTTCACCCTGACATTAATCTGGATTGTGAGCACTTGCCTGGAGCACCAGTGTAACAGCTCTGCAAAGCACTGCAAAGCGAATCACCTCTCGGCAATAAGGGTCTCCTCCATTCACTACCTGCATTCTGATATCAAGTGACCATCAAGTAGGTCACTGATGTCTTTCAGACAGGGAAGACTGTCTACAGATGCTGAGACCTGAAACAGAACAAAAGGTCAAACACTAACACAGCCAACTCATGCACATCACTTTAAAAAAAAGTTACAAACTCCTAACAATGCCCATCCCACTCTCTGGTGTAAAGGAACACATTTATAGCAGATAGTCTATCATTCAAATATAGATTAAAAAGAAGTGGGGCCAAGATGCAGCCTTGTCAAACACCTTTTGTTATTTTAACTGGGTTAGATAGTTGACCATGGGATCCAAATCGGATATTCATACTTGTAAGTATAAAGACCTTTTATACGTTCAAGCAGCCTGTGGTCAATATTCATATTTTTCAATTTACGCCAAGGATGAGGGCCGGACCTGACATAAATGAGACCTTCTTGGGCCGGGCCATGTGTGTCATAAAATGTAATGCCAGGTAACAGAGGTATAAACTTTATAAAGGACACAGACCAACACAATTAACTTTCACATTGTTTTCTTACTGAGAAAGACTGGATCATGAGGGCATGAACACAGTGAAAAGGGGGAGGGAAACCAGTTGCACCCAGGAAAGCCCTGGCATAAGGAGCCCAACAAAGCACACACAGCATAACGAGCCCAACAGAATACAAACACATTGTAGCAAGGCACACAAAAGCTCATACCTTGAACAAAACTTTGTTAGTCTTAAAGGTGCCTGGTATTTTTGCCATATGATTAAGGCAGTCCAGCAAAGCAAGCTCTCACTCGTTCCCTCCCTCCCTGCCTCCCTTCATGAAAGAGCTGCAACCAGTGGAAGGAAAGAAAGGTTTCCCTTTGTCTCCTGAATACAATTGAGGCAGCCTGGCCAGGAAACGAGCTCTGGCTGGTTCCCTCTCTCCCCCTGGAAGGAGGAGGGGGAAGAGCCTCAGCCAGTGCTTTACAAGACTTTCTCAATCGCACAGGAGAGGCTTGCCTATCTATCTCTCCTGTGTGATTGAGAGAGTCTGGTAAAGTAAGCTGTGATGTAGCAGCGGCAGCAGAACTGGAAAAGGAAGTAGGAAACAGGGCCTTGTGGGCCGAATTACAGCCCTCCAAGGGCCTGATCCAGCCCCCGGGCCGCATGTTTGACATCCCTGATTTACGCCACAGATGTTCTCTCGAGATAAGAGTCAAATGTGGCTTAAAGATCGATAAAAGCAACATACAGCTCCCAGGTTCGAGATTGTAATGCAAGCGTAGCCAGAATTTGACAGTCATAAGCCATGCACTAGTTTCAATTAGAGACATGCCAGTTTCCAAGCAGATAACTGCATATGAAACACATTCCGGCATACCCAAAATTTTTCACAGGAATTTGGATTGGGTCCATTCAGTAGCACATTCAAGGGCTCCAATCCAAATCGGGGCGCTGTATAATAATTGTGACGTCACTTTGGCCTTGAAAATTTTTATGGCAGCTGGCACAAATTGGTTACCTCTGCCATTAAAAAAATGTGTTATAGCCGATGCACTAATGTTGGCTGATTTCACTGCATACTTTCGGTGGGTAGACCAAGTCACATTATATTGAAAATAAATACGTAAATATTTAAAATGTTTTACTTGCTGTATCTTTTTTCCAGCAATGACCCAATTGTAAGATCTCCACTTTTTTTGAAAAGATTAAGATTTTTTACACCTTGTGGTTTAATTGAAGCTTATTAGTAGTAAAAAAAAAAGCTACACAATGGGTCAATAGACGTCTTAGTCCCACTCTGGAACGGGACAACAACACTGTGTCATCAGCGTAAAGTAGCAGGTGTATGTATATTGCACCAAGTTTCGAACTATGGCAGTCAGCACCAGACAACTGAGCAGCAAGATCATTGAGAAAAAGATTAAATAAAAAGGGAGCTAAAATACAGCCCTGTTTGACGCCCTTATTGGCAGAGATCTTTGGTGTCAAACTGCCTGCTAGCGAGCATTTGATCTGACAGGTGTTAGAGGTATATAATTTCTTAATAAGCATAAGAAGTCTTTTGTCCATATTTAGCTGGTCTAACTTGGTCCAGAGAAGGTCCCTATCAACTGAATCAAATGCACCTTTTAAGTCTAGAAAAGCAACAAATAATTTCTGATTCTTTCCAACGGTGTACTTCTTAACTAAATGGGATAAGATAACACAATGATCTAAAGTGGTCTTCCCTTTGCAGAAACCCAGCTGTTTAGGGCCTATAATTTTTTCCTGCACCATCCAAAGATTGAGTTTGGCTAATAGGTGTTTAGCATACAGCTTTCCAATAATGGAAAGTAGGCTGATGTGCCTGTAATTGGCAGGGTTGGTATGATCACCTTTTTTGTATAATGGGACCACTATTGCGTTCAGCCATAACGGGAATTATGCCAGTCCTATCTACTATTATAAACAGGGAGGCAAGGGGGGAGGCCCACCAGTCTGGATCTAATTTTAAAATTTCGGAAGGGGCCTTTTCTGATCAGGAGCCTTTTCTGATTTCAGCTGCACAATTAGCTCTTTGATTTCCTCCGGTGACACAGGAGGCCAGCCAGGTAACTTGGCTGTAGAAAGCTCAAATGGTTTGGCACAAGTAGATTCTTGATGGAACAGAGCTGAAAAGTGCTGGAACCAAACATAAGAAGAGATAACAGACATGGAGAGGTCATCAGCCTAGAAAGGATGAGTTGTGTATTTACTAATAAGGTGTTGCAATAGTAAACAGTGATCAAGAGTAGAATGACCCTGTCTAAATCCAATTTGCTGCAGTGCTATCAAATTATTCTCACATATCCATGATTCCAATTTGGATTAAAGATATCTAGCATAGAGTTTCCCTACCACATCTAACAAGCTTATTGGCCTGTACTTTGGATTGGTACGCTCATCCTTCTTATAAATCGGGACCACAATAGGGTCCGTTCTCGAGGGAATCTACCAGATCTATCAATGTTAGTAAAAAGAGAGGCTAGAACAGGTGCCTACCAATCTTGAAAAGTCTTAAGCAAATCCGGTGGTATAAAATTTTCACCTGGGGCTTGGTTACTCCTCATTGAAGAGATGAGGGACTTTATTTCACTCACAGTTACAGGAGGCCACTCAGATGAACTAATTAATAAAGATGTAGATGGGCAATTAGTTACAATGCTCTCGTGAGATTGATCATTAAATAACTTTGAAAAATGCTCTTCCATTTGTTCTTTGGGTATATAAAAACCTAACTCATATCGAGCCCTTCCTTCCGAAGCTGCAAGAATTCTCCAAAACTTCACCATATCCTTCTGATTTAGGGCCAGGACAAGTTCTTGCCAAGATTCTCTAATTGAAGTTCATTTTTTTCTTTAATTAGACACTTATAATTATGACGAACATCGAAAAAGGATTTAGATAAGCAATTTACTTCTTTTTGTTTATATGCCTTAACAATGCGTCTAAGCTGTTTTTTCATATCTATACATTCTCTGTCAAACCATCTATTATTGGTTTGCTGCCTCCCACTTGATGATTTACCACTCTTGACCAGAAAAAAGTTTCAATGATTCAGTTAGTTCTGCATAAAAGGACAAGGCGATCACAGGGTCCCTTGTTGTCACTAGTTTTTCTTTAATTTCAAGAAATGGCTCACTATAAAGCACCAGCTGTAATTTATTCTGGAGAGCATCTGTCCATCTCAATTGTATGTTAGTTGTAAATACAGTTTGTGGAAACTTTGCCTCACAAGAACACACTGGATCCCAGGTCAAAATATAAAATATAAGTGGTTGATGATCGCTCTCTGGGAGCGTTCCAACTTCAAAATGTAGTATCTTGTCTTCATATCTAGTTAATCTAAGTAATCCTAAATATAGAAAGGCTTTTACTAGCGCACACTTTGATATGTTACCACTACTGGCCACTGAAGGTCATTTCCCATATGGGAAAAGAGTTTGTTCTTGTGATCAAACTTCTTTTGAAAATCTCTTCTATGTCATATTTGTGTAAAATATGTGACTGAATGAAATAAGTTCCTGTGTACAATTATATCTTTCCTTCTTGGTAGGTCGGACCATGAGAAATTAGTATTCCGACTGTCAGATAGAGATACATTTATTACTTTCCAAGTGGCAAGATTTGTTGCTGCTATTTTGGAAAAAAAGAAAAGATGAGCATTAAATTATATCGATCTTCTCTTACTTGACTCTTTGGGTTATTCTAATTTTATGATTGTCATTAGATAATGTTAACTTTTTATAGGACAATATTGATACTGTTTTAACCGTATTGTGATATGTAGTTTTACTGATGTTATGCAATGTACCTTTTACTGGTTTGTCTTTTGTTGAGGGTTTTTTTAAACTGTTACTTTTAGCTGCTATGGCATTTTGTTGCTAATGCAATAAAGTTTGATAGATCGATTGATAGCAGAAAATCTCAAATTAGCCTATGAGTTCACTGTTGCTAGTAAAATGCCCACCACATGGGATGGTTTCCAGCAATGTCAGATGGGTAGCCCTGTTTATCTGTACCAGCAGGATAAAACAGGAGACCAAAGGCACCTGAAAGACTAAGAAAATTTCATCCCAGCATCAGCTTTTGTGAGGCACAGAACCATCAGGCCAATTTATATACACAACAGAAAGACGGGGGAACTGGCTTATCACTATAATATTCCCCCTCCCCGCCTCTCTACACATTTCGTATACAGTTGATTAACCTCCCCCTTCTTCTCAGTTTCAGATGGCAGCTTCGCCTGTAAATTGACAAAGCAATTCAGAAAAAGAAGACAGACTCACAGATATAATGGGACATCAACACACTCACCTGTATTAATTACAGCCTTATTCCACCATCTCTTTACAGTACTCAGAACTGCCTTAACTGCCATCATGCAGAGTATGTTAGGCAGCCCAATGAATTACTTATGTAAACAAGGATTTGAATCCAGGTTTCCACATCTGAGCTGATCAACAAGAACAAAACAAAAAGAAGAAAAAGTGGCTGGTGTTCTCCCTCCACACCCAAAAGGCAGGCAAAAGGTCATCTGTTGGGGATGACTGCAGCCTTGAAACTGGAATCTTCAGAA